GGAACATTTTTTGGATGAGTGTGTGGATGCCAACGAGCACTTGGTCAAGGAATTCTACACCAACATTGCCCACATCAAAAAGGGCTCCAAAGTGACCAAGGTGTGAAACCTGAAAGTGCTATTTGACGGAAAGACCATAAATGACTATCTTGGCTTTAATGAGGAGGATGAGGCGTTGTATATGGCGAAGATGGAAATGGGCAAGGAGGTCCGTCCCTGGTTGGCACAGTATCTGGCAATCCCAGGTACCACCCCCGATTGGTTGACTGTGGGCCTCAAGATTCTGAGACGTAGTTTGAATTTCGAGGCAAGGGGGTGGGAAACATTTGTATGTAGCAGGTTGGACCCTACGACTCATGACAACTCCCTCCCTCTTCACTGGGCAGTTTTGGTGGCTTCGATCATGGCGGGGTACTCTATCAATGTGGGAAATGTAATGTCGAGGATAATTACAATTATGGGTAGTGAGAATGACAGAAACCTCCCTTTTCCCAGCTTTCTGACTATGTACTTTCGGGACCTAAAAGTTGAAAAGAGGCCATTCGACATCAAAGTCAAAGCGAAGGCCCCATTCTCTTGGTACATCATGCAGGGGGATGACAACCCCAAGAGCAAGAACTTCAAGGGTACAACCACTGCTCCAACTGGCCAGTCTGAAGAGCCAGTTGTGGTAGTGGCTCCTGCTGAGCCTGCCTCCACCTCTACTGATATTCTTCCTGGTCCATCCACCTCAGCAGACCCGGAGATACCATCTTCCCATGCCTATCCGGTGACTGCCTACCAATTGAGTAAGTCTCTCCGCAGTATCAACAACTGGATGCAGACTACATCATCCAAGTTGTCTACCCTCACTACCACATTAGAGGCTCAGTTGGTACCTCCGCCTTCACAGGTCCCCCAGTCCATAGAGGATGCTCTCAAGGAGATTTTAGCCAACCAAAAGAAAATCCTCAACACTTAGAAGGTGCTCACAGATGCAGTTATTTCACACAGCCAGTCTCTCAAGGAGCTTGCTAGGGAGCACAAGAAATTGAGGAAGACGCGGGCTTCCAAGGAGTCCGTGAAGGCGCCGAGGGTTGATGTTGACCGGTTGAAGGCAGACCAGCTTCCTTTGGACTTATTGCTCGATGATCCTATGCCAACAAGTCATCCCCAACCAGAGTAGTCATAGAGGCCTCCAAAGAGAAAAAGGATGATTCCCAGAGCAGACGATGCAATCATCCAGTTGGCAGACCCACCGGAGGCCTCCTCCAGTCAGCCACAGGATGCATCTTAGGAGCCTGTCCAGGCCCAGGTCCCAGCATCACAATTGAAGGCCACAGGGAACCAGTCTGAGGTTCCCAAACACAGTGAGGACCCAGGGGCCACTCAGGAGCCCATGCAGGCAGACGGGCCATAGGGAGTTTCTATATCATTTTTCCCTTTCTCTTTTTGATGTTTTATTTAGTTTAGTTGGCATTGGGGACAATGTCAGCTTTCATTTGAGGGGATAGACCCTACTTTTGATGGATTCATTCGGATGATTGTATATATTTGATAATTTTTATGCTTTCTTTATTTTTCATCTTTGGTTTGTATATAATTTTAATATTTCATTACATTTCTCGCACTTTTATTTTACGTTGGGTCTGTATATAAAGTTATGTTACATTGTATATATTCATCCCGTCTATTGTATATTCGACAAATCCCCTTTTGTATATATTCATTTTACTTTGTGCAACTTTTCGTTCTTAGCTTCTTATTTATGCTCATAGCTTCTTGTTTTGAAAGTTTCAATAAGCCTTTGGTTTTCTTAATGTCACGATTCTTTCCAAAGGTGGAGTTTTATGTGAACCGAGTGGCTCTTCCCAATGATGGATGGCGTGACAACCTTCTTAAGGGTTTGAGTCCATTTTTCTTTTTGTTTTTAGTAGCTAGTAGTTAAGGGTGCCTCAAGCAAAGCTTCACTTGGTCCTAGCACATTTGCCTTTGATCTTATGGTCAAAAACAAATTGTTGTGTTTAGGATGGTGAAAGTAGTGACCTTGAGACTCTTGTGTTGACCGATAATCATCAAGTGGTTTTTTGGGACCATTGGTGCTCAAATCTTATCTAAGGTCGTTATAGGCCCCCGACTCTATGTCTTTAGCAATCCCATAGCTTGTGTTGTGAGTAATCGCATTGCAAGTCCAAGTCCCGAGCCACTGGTCTAGAACTTGACCTGAATGTTTGTTGAGGCGAAATCCTAAGTGAATTTTGACTTGAGACATGATTATAGGCTCTCCTTGGTCCAAATGATAGCTTGAACACTTCCATAACCTACCAATGATAAGATCCCTAGTCAACCCTTTTGAGCCTTAGACCTTTTCCCTTCAAGACCCATAATACAAGCCTATACCCGTTCTAAAAGATACCATCTCTTGGCACCCGATATTTTCTTAGCACATGGCAAAAGTATACGTTTGGGGGGAGAGACGAAGATTGTAGCAAAGTGGTAAAAAGGCACAAAAATGAAGAAAAGAAAAGGCAATGAAAAAGAAAGGAAAGCAAAAAGACAAAAAGAATGTTCAATATGAAAAAGAATAAAAAGAGATTCAAGAAAAGCAATGAATGAAAGGTGTGGAAAGTTGAAAAAGGAGAAAAGATTTGAAATGTATAAGAAAGAGTGACAGTTTGTCTCTTTAACCCCTTATAAAGAAGTGAAATGACTCAAAGAGTCAAGTGAATGTGAGCCAAATGAAGCAAAAGAAATGCTTAAGGGAAGATGGAATCTACTTAGACCAAACATTTCCTACCCTGAACCAAAAGCCTTCACCATGACAACACAAAAGCCCTATTTGATCTTGAGTTGAATGAAGCTTACATTAGTGGTGACTTACATAAGGGGCAAGCATATTGTACTTAGAGCCGGACTTGTGACTTTTTCTTGAGAGAGATGAGTAAACTTCCATTAACCTCATTCTGAGTGCCACTATTCTAAAGGTGAGGTTTGTTTAGGGAGAGTTGAGGATGTGTGAGTTTGGGTTCCACAAGGACCGAAGTAATATAAAAGAGTTCTTTGATGTGTTGAGTCAACTCTTGATGCTCTTGTGTTGTACTTAATCCAAGGTGTTTCAAAGAGTAAATGTTGTTAATGATTCATTTTTATTGAGGGCAATTGTTAGTCCCAATTGATGCTAGATGAGGTCACTTTAGGACAGCTGAAATGTTCTTGGATGTTCTCTTAAGGGGTGAGTCCTATTTTGTTTGCTTGAGGACAAGCAAAAGCTTAAGTTTGGGGGAGTTGATAACTAGGGATTTTGATACCTTTTATACTCCTTCTTGCTTATGTTTTGATTAGGAATTTGCACAAAATAGTCCCAAAAGGCTCACAAGTTGTGCTTGATTGCAGGTTTAATCAACAAAGAGACAACATGTCAAAGATCAGCTCAAAAGGAGTGAAACTTGCACAAGTACCAAGACAAGACAAAGCTTAGGCAAAACAAGGCCAGTGCGGCCGCACTACATTCTGTGTGGTCCGCACTGTAAGGTTCAGAGAGCATGACATTAAGGCACGAAGGCAATGCGGCCGCACTAGGATTTGCGCGGTCCGCACTGAGATCAACGCGGCCGCACTCGATTTCGTGCGGTTCGCAGTAAGGAGAATCAGAGAGCTACAAATTCCAAGTGTCAAGACAATGTGGTCCGCACTTCATTTTATGTGGACCGCACTAGAAGCCTCCGCGGCCGCAGTCCATTCTCTGCGGTCTATAGTGCCCAGATTCAGAGAGTTAGCTCTTCAAGTTCAGACCCCTAGTGCGGCCACACACCATTTTGTGCGGTGCACACTAACCCCACAGGGGTATTTTTGTCCAGATTTTTCAGCTTAGTATAAATAGCTTCTTTTCCCATTGTTAGGGCATCAAATAGTTTCTCTCTGTAAGCTGCGCTCGTGGGTTCGAATATTTTAGCCATTTTGGGCCATTTTATCTACATTTCATCATTGAATCTTATTGTTTATCTTAGTAATTAATTTAATGAGTTGCTCTTCATCTATTTCTTGTTTTTCTTCTTTAATTATGAGTAGCTAGACCCATAAGCTAAGGTTGTGGCTCAACCCTAGTGTGGGTAATTGATGGGTCTTAAATTTTAGGGCTAGATTGACTATGGGTGTTTGATATTTGGGCCAATTTCATGGTTAATTGCTGAATTAGTGGTTGCAAACACTAGCTTGTATTTAATTGACTTGAGCTCTTCTTGAGAAAGAGAGCCTAAGTCTCCAAAATTGATCCAACAAGGAATTGGGGCGTATTCCAGAGATTGATAGCTCCAATTAAAGGGTTAAACCTCTAGAGCGTAATACCCGACTTGAACCTTGATTGCTTGTGCAAATTTGCATACTCAATTGGTCTTGAGAAAGTCAATTCGGGCAAAATTACTCGAACCACCGAAAGGTGTAGAGTGGGTAATATCGTGCAATGGTTATATCGTACTCCCCAATTATGTCAATCGTGTCTTAGATTCAATTACCTGTCAATTGACCACCTAAGCAAAAGTCACTACCCTAGTGCCTTTTAAACCATTTGAACAACCCTCTTTAGTTTTACTCTTAGCTTAATCTAGTTTCATTTACCACTGTAGTTTGATAAAAGTAGAAGTAAATCAAAAAACCCAAAAATGATTAGAAGTGCAATTTGGAACACATACACAATCTTAAACTAGATAGATACTCGATTCTAAATTCTAGCTCTCTGTGGAAATCGATCCCGACCCTAAATCGGGTAAAAGCTGCTCCGACCCTCTCTTGCTACTCAATAGTAGTACGAAGTAGGCTGCGATCAGAACCTCGATGGGGGAAACTCGACCATAGCCCTGTAGCCTCGAGGCTTCGAGATGATTTTTTGAGGTGCCTCGATGACGAGGAATTGTACCCTCCGATTTTACCGTATACACTGTCAAAAGAACATTTATAGGCGGATCTAGGATTTTAACATGACGGAGCAACACTATTTTGCTCAACTAATACCCCTAAATTAAAGNGAGAGGTTTAAGATCCAATATGTCGTTGAACAAGTTGGTGCATAATTCTGTACAAAAATAGCTCCAAATCAGTAAGCCAATATTGCATGAAAGCACATAATGCATCATCAATTTCTTGAAAAAAAGGCAAGGACTAGTAAAAGAAAGAACCTTGGAGATATGCAGAACTAGGATTATGATCCAGACAGCAACAAGTCTAGAGATATCCTTCCAATACATATTGTCAAAAATTGAGACCTAAAGTAGCTCCATATAATGAGCATTCGAATAGATTGGGACGGATAAAAAATTATTTGGGACAACGGGAGTATTAATTACCTCAGTTGCTTTATATACTTCATTTGTGAAATTAGTAGAACCATTGTTTGGACCTCCAGGTATAATTTTGTATGCAACTTCTTCGCCGCCAGCAACTGATTTTCAGTTCCAGAATATTACGCAGAAATAACTCATCAAATATTTCTGTTGTAGTGTAGAAGATAAAGATATATAGGTACTCACCATTAGATGTCAAGCGCCTAACTGCTTCCTGGACATGAAATTAGAATTTAAAATCCATTTTTATCTTTGTACTCTACAACTACAGGAAATTAAACAACAAACAGACAACCTTTTTAATAATAGTTTCTTTCTTCCATGTCTCGACACCTTTGAAAAATGCCTTTGTTGATGCAGCTGCAAGTAGTCCCATAATAACAAATCAGAATACTTACTCTGTACAAAATTGATAAAATAAAAAAGGGCAGCCTGGTGCACTAAGCTCTCGCTATGTGCTGGGTCCGGAAAGGGCCGGACCACTATTGTACGCAGCCTTACCTTGCATTTTTGCAAGAGGCTGTTTCTACGGCTCGAACTCGTGACCTCAAAGCTCCCCTTCACAAAATTGATAAAATTGCAGCTGGAAATTAAATAGCAGTGCTTACCTGAGAAAAGAATGATTAATAAGGTCGTAACCATCCACTCGGCGAAAATTACATTTAGTACAACTCCAATACTGATACCTAACAACAACATTGGTTGGAAAAGAAGAGCTAAATCATAATCAATGATGGGAAGTTCAAGCAATGGATGCCTCAGCTTAAGACTGTAGTATACAGTTGCACCCGCTGCACCAGTGATCATACCTGATCACAACAAAAGCAAAAAGCTCAAAAATGGCGTAATTAAAGATGACCTAAGATATGACGCGTTGACGTTTCTCTGTAGATAAAAGTAGATGGATTCTTACATTTTGATATTGCAGTTGATGTTTTTGGATCAAATCCAATGATCAAAGTCAGCATGGGAACAAAGATACCGCCTCCTCCAACGCCTCCTACGCTCCCAAAAGCAGCACCAAAGAATCCAATTACTGAACCAACAATTACTCTCCAACCACACTCCAGTTCCTGAAATACATACAAAGCTTCAGTGACAACATCCATCCCCTTCATTACAACGTCAATATCTTGTCCAAAAACTCAAACATCCAACAAAAAGAAGCCCCTTTGAGCAAGTCAACCCCCACACGGGTGGATTCAGCTTTATGCATTACGCGTTCAACTGAATCCAGTATTTCGACACGAAACATATGTATGTGTGTGGGTGAGTGTGTGTGAATACCCACTAAAATTTCAGCAAGTAATAAATTTTGAACTCATAATTTCATTACAATGAGTAAAGTCCAAAGAGCCCTAAAGATTGAACTCTTCATGTTTAAATTATGGATCCGCCTCTGGACCGTCAGGGCAGTTATCATTTCGTGTCATAAATATGCCCTGCTGCTCTCGAAAACCTAATCTTGGAAACAGTTAATGAAGGGAAGACTTGATATAGCATTGGCAAAAAAGAAAGAATGAAAACTATATAATACAATGACTTCAGTACTAAAAACCTTATAGATTAAACCTTCAAGTTCAAATTATGGATCCGCCTCTGGACCGTCAGGCCAGTTATCATTACATGTCATAAATATGCAATACCGCTTTCGAAAAACTAACCTTGGAAATGGTCAATGAAGGGTAGAGTTGCTGGAGTAAGAGAGAAAAGGATAAAAAGATGCTAGTAGTAATAGATGAACTTACAGGCCAAACATGGTGGTAATGCATTTCACTCATTTTCTGAAGAAGATTGAATAGGTCAAAGAAGTAATATGAGTCCGTACTATGAGTTGTTCCATTGTTGCTCAAAGTAGCCTCATGTGGAATTTTCTCCGCAGATACAACGATAGCTAAAGCTAGAACAAGCACAACAACTGTATATGCTGCCAAACCCTCCATCAGTTGCTAAATTCCCACTTTGTTTTTGCTCCTAACGGTCACTCTTCTGAGATAATCAAGACTAGACCCAAAGTCAGAAATCTCAAATTAGGAGGAAGAAAATCAAGAATTATCTAAGTAGATGTAGAAAGAGAACAACTTTAGGGAATAAAATAAAGAAAAAAGGAAGTAACTTGAGGCCTCCAATCTTTATATAGAGGAGACAGAAATATCTCTGTATAAAGAAGTCTTTTCATTGCAGCAGACGTAAACTAAGATAGGGTAGCCTTAGCATAGTTTTAGGAATATTTTTGTTTTGGACAAAGACTGGATGAGTCATTCTCGTACATTTGCGCAAAGTCATTCACTAATGGCTATCATTAAGTAAGATTTATATCTCTAATTAGGAAAAAACAGAGTAAGATTTATATCTCTAATTAGAGACAGAGAGAGAGAAAGATCAAACTGATTTCTTACTCCGTTGTAAACGTAAAATAATTTGCAGTAAAGAGTGTGACAAAACCATTGATGCAGTCGATTTTATGTTAATTATATAAACCCAACATTAATTTTAGGCCTATATTTGATGAAGTCAACAACATCTACCAGCTAAACCCAACCAGACAAGTTTCATATGGGATCATGACCCCACTTTCACTATTTTTAATTTAGATGGTTACTAGTTGATATCCTACTAACCTGCAGTTTTTGTTTATGGAAAAATACTTGACTTCTTTGAGTGCAAGATGTGTGAATGTTGAATATTCAGTAATAAATATATGGATCTCTACTATCACTGCTGAAACTGAGTTACTACGTACAAAAACGTGTTCCATGTTTTTGCACTTGTTGGCCAAACATGAATTGACACTCTTAACTTAAGAAAACTATTCTATGAGACTAGCAGTTGAGGATCATTATTGATTTGCTGTAACTCATGTATTCCTTTACTGCTGCATAAACACAGGAGCTTTCTCTTCCCTTTCATTTATTTAAGGAAGTAAAAAGTACGAGACAGCTATTCCTCCTGAATTTTGCACGTTAATTTGGACCCCTCCACCTTAGCACTTTAATTTAATGGCGAATTTTGGCTCTAGCCTTCAATGTCCGCCCCCCCCCCCC